GTATTAGACGATTCACCAGTAACAGAGTGGGGACCAGAACAGGCAGATTGACTGTAATACACTGCTGAGGGGAACAGTGAGTGAGACAGGAGAGGCCTGCTGCACCATGTGGGTCAGCTCCCTGGCCAGGGATCAACCTTGTGCTGCAGTGGCTGCAGATAACTTCATAGTGCTGAGACTTAACCCCTTGTGCCACCGTGGAGGCCCTTATTTTTGCTTTTGACGGTAAATTGTCCATAAAAAATGACTTTTATATTTGCTCATGTTTACCAATTTAAGCAATCAATTCCATCCTTTAGTTTCAAGTTTCTATTTGGCATCATTTCCCTTCAGCCATTTAACTTTTTTTGTAGCATAGGTATTTTGATAGCAAATTCTCAGTCTTTACATACCGTCGAGTGATCTATTATAGGACATAGAATTCTAAGTTCACTTTTTTCTTTTAACCACTTTGAAAGATGATCCATTTTCTTTTAGCTTGTATTGTTTTTAATGAGAAAGCAGCTGTTACTCTCAGCCTATCTGTAATATGTCTTTCTGTTTTTTTGTTGTTTTGGCTTTTTTCTAATAGTTTTTTAACTAAAACATTGCTGGAGTTTTATTTAGATGTCTCTAAGAGAAAAATATTTGATTTTTTGAGGATGAAAACACTAGCCTGTCCATCCACCTCATAGCATTGTCATTAAGACCTAATGGGATCATGGAAAGGAAAGGAAACTTTCATAAACTGCAGTTTCTGATTAAAAAAAAAAAAGTGTAACTGGTTTGTTTGGTTAGTCTAAACCACGAAGCTTTGTGTGACACAGATGACAGATAGCATGTGTTCCAAGTATAAGAACTGTTGGGTGAAACCTAAAATTTTTTTCACTAGTAGCAGCAAATCCAGAACACTTTCTAGTCATCAGTATCAGTAACAGGAAAGAAATGGTTCTGCAAACAGCTCAGCATTTCTCTGTAATACCTCCTCTGGTTATTACAGATGCTCAGATATTAGGATCTTACTTTCCTTTTTTATATACCGAAATTCACTATTTCCTTCTATTTTCTATAGTTAACTCTTTGGTGCTTGGGGTAGGTGGAGGGAATCACAGTTAACAACTGTAAATGCTGTCAGAGAACATATCACATACTTTTTTTTTTAATAAATTCTATTTTTATATTCCCCATACAATTGCAACCCCCTTATTTTGACCCCAATCCCTCCCCTCCCCACCCCCCATAGAGTGTCTCTGGTTCATAGTTGTTTGTTGATTTTGATCTTCACTTTCTTTAGTTATTCATTTTCCTGGTCCCTTATTTAAGTTTTCTAGATTCCTGCTATGAGTGAGGCCATCCAGTATTTTTCTTTTTCTTTCTGGCTTATTTTGCTGAGCATGATCCCTTCCGGCGCCATCCATGTTGCTGCAAATTGCATGTATCACATACTTTTTAAACATAGAAATAAGATTTAACACTATTCTAAAATAAGGGCTTAACTTATCATATTTGTTATAAAATTCTCAAATATGTTATGTGTATAATTTGCCTTTAAAAAATTCTACAGGGCCTCCCTGGTGGCACCAGGGGTTAATTCTCAACACCATGAAGCTATAGCCACTGCAGCATGAGTTCGGATCCCCAGCCAGGGAGCTAAGCCACATGGTGCAACAGACCTCTCCTGTCTCACCCACTGCTCCCCTCAGCAGTGCATTTCAGTAGATCTGCCTGTTCTGGTCCCTAATCTGTCTCTAGTGAATTTTCTCACACACACCCCCACCTCCATATCTCTGGCCTACACCCCCGTTCTTGTATGCATAAATAAATCTTTAAAAAATTCTACAGGGCCTCCCCTGGTGGCAGTGGTTGAGCACTGGGCTGCGAAGCTGCCTGCAGCCTCTGCAGCGCCGATTTGATCCCCAGCCACCAGGTGAGGGTCCCACATGGCTCACAGACCTCTCCTGCTGTGCCCGCTGCTCCCCTCAGCGGTGTATTTCGTCAGTCTGCCTGTTCTGTTCCCCTCTCTGGCTCTGGTGAATTCTCTTACCCACCCGCGCTTCTGACTGTTACTCAGTGCTTGCATAAATAAATAAATAAATCTTTAAAAAAAAATTCTACAAAAGCCTTTATATTTTGTGTTTTTCCCCTAACTATGCCTTTCTCTAACCCACAGATCACCTGTCCTAAATATTTAAGCTGATGGATTTAAGTATTTAAGTATTTAAGCTGATGGATCTTTCCTCCTTTAAGAATTTCCTGAATGTAGTTACCATTACCACTTAAAATGTATTACATGACTCATATACATTACTGGAATATATAAACTTATAAAAAACACCAAATGTTTCTTGTTTATTATTCTGTGTATTTACTCATTCACTCACTAATTTATTTAATAAGCTATGTTGTGGAAATGGAGGCAGTCTGACATATACCACAAGAACCTAAGTTCAGATCCAGACTCTCATTGACTAAATGGACAAATTAGTAACATCAGCCTTATTAATGTTTTCATCTTTAAAATTACGATAATACCGGGGCCTCCCCGGTGGCACAGCAGTTGAGCGCTGGGTTGCGAAGCTGCCCGCAGCCTCTGCAGCACCGTTTCGATCCCCGGCTGCTCCCCAGCCACAGGCGGAGGGTCCCACATTGTGCGCAGACCTCTCCTGCCGCCCGCTGCTCCCCTCAGCAGTGTGCTTCGGTCCTTCTGCCTGCTCTGGTGAATTCTCTCACCCTCCCGCGCTTCTGACTGTACCCAGTGCTTGTAAATAAATAAATAAAAATAAATCTTTAACAAAAATAAATAAATAAAATAAAATAAAATTAGGATAATACCACTGAATCTACAAGTGTTGAATTAAAGGACAATTGTGTTATGTGCCTGGTACTATGATAGGTGTTCTAGAATGTGAGTTCCTTTCTTTCCAGCAAGAACTCTAGGCTATTTGTTCTAGCCTTTTTGATATTACTCATAAAGTCTTCTTTCAAAAAGCTTGATATTTAAAAAAAAAAAAAAAGCTAGATATTTAGAAGCATGTTCCAGAATTTCCCCACCTTAGTGACTCTCTACCTATTTTCAAATCTAACCTTCCTCTAACTCCTAATCTCCCTTGTCTTTCATTAATAAATTGGCAGACAGGCTATTCAACTATGAAAGGCAGTTGGAAATAGAGAAGGAAGGGCAGCCTACGCCCTCTTTTGGCAGCACTGGCATGCTACTCTGAGGATTCTGAGCCCAGTCCCTGAAGCTGCAAGCAAGCAACCCTGCCTCCACTCTCATTAGCTTACTCCCAATTCAAGGCATGCACTCCTCAACTAATGATTTACATGTCTAAATAGATTTCATTCCAGATTAATCCAAGAAATTGGCAAACATCAGTGGGTAACTTGCAGAATTTCTACTCAATAAAATGGAAAACTATGAGTTTTCAGGTGGTAAATAATGAAAGGAAATAACTGTTCCCTTCACAGTTCACAAGTATTGTATACAAAATGCTAGGAGGGCAGGGGGAGGAGGGATGACATTATTGAATGGACAAATTGAGTCTGTCTATGCACTCTATCTTTTAAAGGGGGAGGGGGAGACATGCGTTAAGTCTTATATTGAAGTGAATATGCTCTGACAATCCGTGCTGGGTATGGTCAGCTCCTAGAGCTTGCTCATATTTTACTCTCCTGAGGATTTTCTTAAAGTCTCCTGGGACTCAAAGGGTGGTAGCCAATTTAATGTCACAGCAGAACAGATTCGTAGTTACTCATCCAGAGAATCTCTCAGAACTTTTCTATAAATATTGATAGGGTACAAGCAATTAGTATTTCCCAAGAGAAATAATCACTTAGGGATCCCCAGCAAAGTATGGCATGTGGAACCAGGGAAAAAGCCTCCACTGCCTGGTGCTAATAAGCACTATGGGCTCATCCTAACATCACCCAAGACCCCAATTAAAAACTGAATCAACAAAGCCAGAAATAACTGTCAGTTCGAGCGATAACTAATCAAGATGACAAGTTTGCTATCTAGAAGTTGGAAACTGCTGATGAAACCCCATGAGGAAGCTAGATACTAACCCTGAGCAAGCTCAGGTCTTAGCCTTTGTGTTGGTGACCATTCTTAACCCTGTGTGCTGACGCTTTTCCAGCAACTAATCCATGAAGGAGCCAAAGAAACGAATCAGTGATTCTGCTTAAAGTCAGGTGTCCCAGTGGGCATGAAATGTCCCTACTGAATGTATTATGAGAATATTCCTTATTTTTCTATTGGACCTAAAGAAAGCAAATATTAAAAGGTCCATATTGTCCATTTCTCTGCTCCTTATCCCTCTCAGATTCTTAGCACTTTGGCAGGCCTCTCTGTAGATAAGTCAACAAGTCTACTTTTCTGGTCTTGTGTGACTCCATTTCTCTTTATTCTTCTCCCATCCTCTGAATCTCATACATCCTCTCCTCCAGCAATACTCAGCCTAGCATGCAGTGGGATGTAGTAAGACATCCATTTCCCTCCAATTATCTGGTGGTAATTTTGTCCAATCATAAAATAGCACTATGAGCAAAAACACCAATGCTCCAGGCTCTGCCAGGGTTGATCTGAAACATCAGAGAATTCTAGCAAATTCTTCATATGGGCCCTGGGCTTAAAGATCAGACACGCTCTGTCACTAATCCCCTGAATACACATCTAATCACTGCTCAGAAATTCCCAACCCAGAGCTACACTTCATCTTTTCAGATCCTCTGGAAGCATTTATTGCAGCCATTCTCCCAAGTATGCAAAAGACATGACAATATTTCCTTACTATAGTCACTGCAACAAAAGACTACCAGGAGGTACTCTATGGGCTGAAGAAACATTGTATCTGGTTCCCTGGTAACAACATATTCAGTTCCCCAGTCAACAAATCACTAGTAAAAGCTCACTCCACTGGACAAGGTAAATGCTTCAACATCCGAAGTGTCACCAGAGCTGACCAGATCCACTCGTCCTCCCTGTACTCCCCCACCCCGTGAAGGCTTACTCAAACTGCTACCTGTATAGCTGACGGTTGTCTTCAAAATCCTCCTGCCCCCATCTTCCCTTGATGTCTTCAATAACATGATTCTTCAGGAATTTTTTCAGCAGCTGGACTGTTTGTCTACGGGTCACCTCAGGGCCAAAGTTTTGACTGCACCTCAGCAGTTCATGCAGCCAATCTACAGCTTCAGCCGCTGTGAAGCAATGATCATAACTTTTGAAACGACAGCGGTGTTTCCGTAAAGGCATCCTAGTGCGAAAAAGCTCAACAGTTTCATTCCACTAGAGGAGAAAAAGAGAAAGACATTTAAAAATCAGCTGATTTTTTTGAAGTTATGTCCAAAATATTTAAGACAATGTAATTTTTCAATTTAAGCTGATTTTTTTGAAGTTATGTCCAAAATATTTAAGACCATGTAATTTTTCGATTTAAGACTGCTTTAATAACAGTGAAGCTTTGAAATTTTATTTTCTAACCATCACGCTCTAAGGAAAAGGCACTTTTTTAAATTGTATTTATTCATTCAATAAATATGGCATCATCAAGTTATCCTCTTATGTGAACTTATTAGATTTTTACATTAATGAAAAACACATGCTAAAACTACCCTCATAAGCATAATTCACTTCTTGGAAGCCTATGTTTAATATGACTTTCCCCCATTCAACAAATATTGACTGTTTATTACACAAAAGACATTCAATGGCAAGAGGGGAAAAAATGCACAAGATAGACTGCCTGGTCTAAAGCATGTTTAAAAATTCTACAGAATATTTTCCTTTTTAAGCAAAGTCAAGACAGCCTTCATCAGCCATCCTTAGATGAAACAAAATATTCACTTACAGTATTTTTCCTATAAAATTACTTCAACATCTCTTTAGAATTACAGGCTTCCAGACAGTCCTCCCCAAGTCCTGAAACTCATAACCATTTTCTCTTATTTGACTCTACTCTCTCAAATACGTCATTTCACAAACTCTGAGCCTTCCTTCCTTTTCACATTCCTAATGAAATCAGATTTTCTAATGTTGCCTTTTCTTTCTATCAACTATAGCTCTGATGTCAGAGTATTCTTTTTGTTTTGCCCAATACTGGCTCCTTGTTTTCCCTTCTAACCAAGCATTTTCTTCCAGGTTGTACTTTATATTCTCTTCTGCCTAACCACCTCAGCAAGTATTGTCCCATTTCTATCCTTGAGAGCTAACTTTCTCAGTCTCATTAGTAATTCCTGAATATATGACACCAAGCACTTAGTAAAAGGGCAGACATGGGGTCTATGCATGCATGCCTCCTATACAACTAGGAAATGCCCGACTAGTCTTTCACTTTTCTTACTTTTATTAAACCACCTTCTAACCACACACAATTGAATTCCCTTATGATTCCTAATCATGGCTTCCTCCTGGTCAAATTTAAACATCTTTTTACATTATGCTGATTAATCTTTCTATTTCATTTGAGACTGTCACATAAGTTATGTTCTATCCAGATTTACAAGTTTTTTCTTCAACTTCTTAAAGAAGTTAAAATATACACAAACCAGGCAAGTCTCAGAGAAGAGTAATATATACAGAATCTCTTTTTTTTTTTTTTTTTTTTCCACAGAAGAAATGGGCTGTAGGACAGAAGTGCAAGGGGTGAGAGGATTCACCAGAGACAGAGTGGAGAGAAGAACAGGCAGGTCCACTGAAATACACTACTTAGGGGAGCAGCATGCGAGACAGGAGAGGTCTGCTGTAATATATGTGGGTCAGCTCTCTGGCCTGGGATGCAGCTCAGGCCATAGTGGTGACAGTGTTGTGACTTAAGCCCTAGGCCACTAGGGAGGCCCCTCTAATACAGAATTTCAAAATCAAACAAAAGAAAAAATTCAGATCAAGAAGAAACAAACACTTGAATAGAAAATGGAAAGACTTAATAGGGCACTTCACAAAAAAAGCATCTCCAAATTTACTATAACACATACAAAGATATTCAACCTCATCATTTATCAGTGAAATACAAAAGAAATTCATAATGCAATACCATTATATACCTACCAAAAATGCAAAAGACAGGCAATGCTAGGTGCTGGTGAGAATGAAGAAGACTGGGAAATCTCATACATTGCTAGAAGGAATATAAATTGGCACACTATAGCCACTTATGAAAACAGGTTGGTCATATCTATAAAAGTTAAATACATGCATACCTTACAACACAGCAATTCCATTCATATATATATATATATATATATATATATCTCCAATAGAAATGTATACGTGTGTTCACCAAAATATAATGTTTATACAATGTTTTGCAATAGGCAAAAATAACAAAATGCCCACCAACATGAGAACAGATAAAGTGTAATTTATTCATGCAGTAGAATGAACTTATTGGTACATGTAATAACATAAATGAATAACTGGTGAAATATAATACTATTAGAAATAACAGACATGGGGCTTTCCTGGTGGCACAAGCTGTTAAGACTCAACCTATGAAGCTATCTGCAGCCACTGCAGCACAAGTTCGATCCCCAGCCAGGGAGCTACCCACATGGTGCAGCAGACCTCTCCTGACTAGCCCACTGCTCCTCAAGGCAATGTATTTCAGTCAATCTGCCTGTTCTGTTCCCCACTCTGTCTCTGGTGAATTCTCTCACCCCCCACACCTCTGGCCTGTACCCCAGTTCTTGTATAATAAATCTTTAAAAGAAAAAAAGAAATAACAGACATGAAAAATAAACACTGTATGATTCCATTTATGAAAGTTAGAAAGCAACTAATCCATTAGAAATAAGAGTGGTTAGTTTGTTTGGTGACAAAAAGAGGAGGGGAGAATTTTAGAGTCCAGGTAATTTTATATTTTTTAATCTAAGTGTTGGTTAAATGGAGCTCTCCCTTTGTGAAAATTTAAGTGCTACATTTTATAACTTACACTCTTTTCTGTAATGTTACACTTAACAAAAAAGCTAATACATCTATTCTTCACACACATGCACATATATTAAAATCCTCCTTAAGAACAATTCACAATTTTTGATTGCCAAGTTGAAAACTGATAAATATGAATTGTCTGGTTGTGGTGGTAAATTGAAGGTGGAATAGAAAGGGAAGGAAATTTGAAAAGGAAACCAAGGGAATGGATGAAAGAGGAACTGAATGTAAGGAGGAAAAGCAGGCCAAAAGGAACTGAATAATGATTAAAGAGAGTCAATGAAGAATTCATGAAGGAAGATTTAACTCCATATCTACCTACCTACCTACCTCAACAGGTCACTGTGAAGTCAAATGAGATCATTTGCTGTATAAGACCTTTGTAAAAGACTAAAATATCCCTCAAAAATAAGGATAATATATAAAATTTCCAGGAAAATATCTTTTTAAAATTTACAGAGTTCAATCTGTTCTATAGGCCTAAAGAAATTTTAGGATGAAATCAAGATCCCAGGAGAACATGCAAATTGGCACATATTACTCAAGTTCTTAGTCTCAGAATGAGATCTAGAATCCTGTTCTGTTTTCCTCCTCAAGTGATCATTTCATTAAACCATGTGCTTATGGGCAGTATAACATTATGAACAAAATATAGGTTTAAACCATTTCCATATAGATTTTGTCATTGATTGATGATTTTTTAAATTCTCTGCCAACAGCTTTCTTTTGAGACCTGACCAATTAAGTTGGGAAGTGAGTAGGGAAAAGTTTACCAAAAAAATTTAAATTTACTTTATGTTGACTGAATCACAATTCAATTATGTAGACTAAATTTGCTTAATGCATAGCACTTTACACATTAACATAATGAAGATGTGGCTCTCTGGGACCCAAAATTTTGAAAACTGTAAATATGTCTATTAATTGGCATAGGCTGGTCAGTCAGCAGTTCTACTTGTTATTTTTATCTACATAAGTAATAGTGCACACTGTGATAGTGCACACTTATCAAACACGTAGACATATATAGACCTATGTTCATCTGTATGTGTATAGTTTTATTATTGTTGGTGCTGTTTGCCTTCTTTATTAAGAAATGAGATCAAGCAGATAATGTAGACAGATAATGTAGCAGATAATGTAGACATTATCCTACAACATGCTTTTGTACTTAATATATACCATGGATATCTTTCTGGGTCATCATCTATCCCATTCTCCTGAATGTTCCATAGTTATGTGACCATTTTTTCAAATTATTGGGCATGAAGCTGCTTCCAGTTTGTTGTTTTACAAATAAATCCTTGTTTATACAAGTACCAACAATGCATGAACCTAATGCCTTGTGCTCTGGCCATCATTACGTGTTGTCACTCTCCTCTCTGCTAATCTATGTACCAGAAATGATAGCTCCATGTTTTGCCTGCATTTTTCCTATCATCATGTTGAGTCACTATCATTTCTTCCTCTGAAATATGCCATTTTTCTATTGGACTTTTTAATCTATTTTTCTTTAATTACTTTAGGGACTATTTAAATCTAACTACATAGATGTTAGGAAAGTTAGTCTATTTTGCTTAGTTGAATATCCCATAACTGAGGACAGTGTCTAACACATAGTACATGTATTTACTATGTATTGAGTGACTAAATATGGAGTATTAATCCTTTTTCAAATATATTAGAAATATTTTTTCCAAACCAATTTATTTATATGGTCTCTTCGTTATTGATGATAATGTTATTTTAAGGAAACACACAGATCCTTTTTTCTTTATGACTGCAGGGTTTACTCTCTTAAGAAAGTTTCCCTACCCTGAAGAAAATTACCAAAATTTTCTTTTAGAGAGATTTCTTAACTTTATTTTCTTCCAAATGAAGTCAATTATGCCATCCTTTTCTCACTGAATTGAAATATCAAATTACCTTTCTTGATTCTGAATTCTTTTCTATCCCACTAAGCATTTTGTATATTCCTATGCAATGCTATACAATTGTGATTACAGTTTATTAATACTAAGTTAAATCTAGTCATACCTCTTGGAAGCAGACCCAAAGTAAAACTTAAATTTAGATGTATTGAATTTCTTTAAATGAATCAATTATTCTGGATGTCCACAGTAGACTGTTTGCACAGATGAAGGCAAGAATTCCTTCCATGGTGTTCACAGAGATCTTCGTGATATAAGTTGCCACATTGTCCATCAAGTAGAGATGAATGTCTATGACCCAGTCATCTAGTTTTACTTGCTTTGACCCGTGAGATTTGAACAAAAAAAGTTACAAGCAAAATCTTTTTGGTTATATTGAAATCATGAGATCCCATGTGAAAAAAAATGCAGGAGTTAACCCTCTAGAAACACTTAACCCAGTAAAAGCCAGAACCAAGTCAACCTGCCAACTTAAACCATCCAGTCTTAGGCAAGTCACCAGAAAACAGTGCCATATGAGTGATCCCAGCAGAACCAGACACCCAGACTACTGACCTACAGAATCTTGAGCAAAAAAAAAAGTTGTTCTAAGCCAGATGAAACAATGTCACAGACTCCAAGTCCCTGAAATTATATGTGAAATATAATATATATGTTGCCTGTACACTTTCTGTTAAGAAGATAGTGTTTATCAGATTCTTAAGTGATCTAAAAGCCTAGTCCACCCCAACTATGGTTTCTCTCTCCAGAAGCAGGTCTTCTTAGCTCTGGCCTGACACCTTCAGGCCCCAGGCCTTAATGTGTCTGGCTTTAGAAAGGAAACTGTATTGCCTATTTTCCCACTATCTTCATCTCTTCCACATATGTCTAGTTGAATAAGAGTATGATCTAAATTTCCATCTTTTCCAGGATAGGGTAACTTCTCAGCTGTGACCAGAAGTGGTGACCGATCAAGGTGTGAGGTTCTTTCCTCCCAAATTACCATTAAACTTTCATAGAAATCCACCTAAAAACCTGCCCCATGCATTACCAAATCATCACCATTTTGTCCATTTTGACAATCCTTTGAAAAACGGATCCTGTTCCGGGTCATAAAGAAAGCAGGCACCCCTCACATCTCTGGATACCAAAGCTCTTCTCGCCTCCCAGGAGAAAAGGCAGCACCCTGGACCATGAGGGTCTGCAAAGCTCTTTCGGGTCATCAAACGGGCCAACTCCTCGAGCCAACCCCTCGGTTAGGTGGGTGCAGACAGAAACAAAAACACCTGGGGCCGGAAATGCAGCCAGGGCGACCCACCCTAGTTCTGGGCACCGTTAGAACCTCAGTCACCACAGAGCCGCGCAGGGCGCAGACACGCCCAGCCAGGCCAGCGGCGGAGCGTGAGGCTCGCAGAAGCTGGGGGGCCCTAAGGTTACAGGTTACCGAGCGGGTCTTTTCCTCTCCCTGCTTCGGGAAGTGGGTTCCGAGGACAAAGAGAGGGAAGATCAAATTGGTCATGAGGCGCTTAAATCCAGAGGCGCCTTTTTTTTTAAAATTTTTATTTTTAAACAACATTTGCTTCCCCCCACCCCCTCAGGTGGAGTCCCCATAGACTTTCCTTCCCCAATGCACCTGTGCACCATCACCCCAGTCCCCTATGCTCCTCCCTCTGAGCCCTCTCCCTCCTCCTCCCCTGCAGTAGCGAGGCGCCTTTTAATGAAAACCCAGCCAGCATCGCCCATCCGCGACCCGACGGGCTTCAGGCCCAAAGAGCCTTTCTCTGCGCTCGGTGCCAACCTCGGCCGCCCCAGCCCAACGCGTCCCGCCTCCAAACCCGGCCCCGCCCAGCGCCAGCGAGGACCGGCCAGTCCGCAGTGGGCCGGCCAGCTGGGGACCGCCGGGCCCAGGGTTCGGCCAGGGACCCCGCCCGCTCACTCACCAGCTTGGTGGCTCGGTAGGGCCCCGGCCCCACGATGCGGTGCTCCATGGCCCGCACGCGGCGCGGCTGCGGCCCGGCCAGCTCCGACTCCCGGGAGCAGGCGGCGCCGCAGTTTGAATCGCGAGCCTCAGCGCTGCGCAATCTGATTGGACGGCGCGGAGGCACGTGACGCAGCCGAGGGGCGGGGCCGCCAGGACTCCCGTCCCAGCCCCGGGCTTCCCGGCGGTCGGACTCGCGTCTCCTCGGGGGTCAACGGCCGCCGGGGCTGGGGGCCCGCGCCGTCCCCGGCAAAGCCGACTGCCCGCCCTCGCTCCTCCGCGCGCGCCGGGGTGGCGCGGCCTAGCCGTGCGGGGCTGCCCGCGCCCCGCCTTCACTAGCGGGCAGGACCCGCCCCGACTACCCCGCGGCCCGCCGGCTCCGCGCTCGGGCGATCCCTACGGCAGGATCGGGGAGTTTGGGTAAATCAGAGACGGGAGCGCAGCTGGGCCGCATAAACGAGCCCCTCTGCGCCCTCCCTGGTGCGTGAGGAACCTGGAGCTGCTGCTAAGGGAAGGGGTGGTGAGAAGCGGGTGGTGGCAGGAGTCAGTGGAGTCCTCTGCAAGCGGAGGGGCTTTTACGACCAGATAAGAGCTCCGGGCCTGAGGGAGTCTCCTGGGGATGTAAGAACAATAAAGAGCTGGAAAAGAGGCCGGATTCAGCTTCCTGTGTTTTCGTTGGATGCTTGATTTCGTAGTCTCTCCCTGGAGTAGAAGTTCTGCTTAGTATCAGACTAAAAAGTTCAGTCCTTTGCCATACGTTGAGTGAGTTTGCTCTGCTCAGAATTTTCCTCCAAGGAATTGCTGGTCTGATTTACAAAGAGCCTAGTAAGGTCACCACTTTTGGTCACACAGGACAGGGGCTGAAGAAAGGATCCTACCGTTGTCCCATCTTTATGGCTTTCCCTCCTCTGTTAGCTGGTTTAGGTTTGTTTTCAGCTGCATGTTGAAAAGCCAAACGTCCTGGGATGATAAGTATGCAGTAGTTTTTTAATAAGAAAAAGCAATGAAGACAATTTTTACTTCCATTAAATGAATCTTTATCAGACAGTTTAAAAAAGAAAACAACAAGGATCTTAATGTAAAAATGTTTCCACTGACACTAAAATTGAAGCAGAAGGGAGATCTTAGCGTTTTTCCTGTGACTTTCCATGCCTGAGCTTACAACAATCTTCTCTTCACAGGTACCCCAGTTGAATAAGTGAAACACCCCCCTCCCCTCCCCGCCAACACACACACACACACACACACACACACACACACATACTCTACTTAACTGATTGGTTTCATTAAAAATTATCCAATCAGGGCCGCCCCGGTGGCGCTGCGGATGAGCAGGGAGACCCTTACATGGCGCACCAGACCTCTCGTGCCTCGCCCGCTGCTCCCCTCAGCCTTGTCTTTGGCCCGTCTTCCTGTTCTGCTCCCTGCTCTGGCTCTGGTGAATTCTCTCACCCTCCTGCGCTTCTGATCTGTACCCCAGTTCTTGTATAAATAAATAAATAATCTTTTAAAAAATTATCCAATCAGGGCCTCCCTGGTGGCACAATGGGTTAAGTCTCAGCACTATGAAGCTATCCACAGCCAGGGGCAGCAGGAGTTTGATTCCAGATCAGGAAGCAGACCCACATGGTGCAGCAGACCTCTCCTGTCTCACCCCCTGCTCCTCTCAGCAGCGAATTTCAGTCAATCTGCCTGTTCTACTCCCCATTCTGTCTCTGGTGAATCCACACACATACACACACACACACACACACACACACACACACACACCCTCTGCTCTGCAACCCAGCTCTTATATGCATAAATAAATCTTTTTAAAAAAATTATCCAATCTACATTTTCCTGTCTTATGATCCAGGCACAAAAGAAGGAAAACTTCTTGCCCTGCAGCGCCTCTATTGGAATGGGGGTGGGAGGAGGGGAGGTTTCATAAGAACACACAAATTACTAACTTCTTTTTTGGGTCTGATAGATTCATGACTATTATAATTGAATATCTCTGACTTGTCTACTAGGAACTTAGAGCCAAATTTGTAATCAATTCCTAACTAGAATATAATCATGAACTATTTCATTTTTCTGACTTTACTTTCTACTTATTTCTCTGATGTTATAAATGAATCATAAGCTGCCTCAGTTTCTTTTTGGAAAGAGGCACCCATTTCTTATAAGAGATAAATTATAATCCTTACATTTGTAAAGCAACTTTCAAAGCTTTTTCACATTTTCTCAGTTGATCCTCCGAACTATTTGTAAATACAAATAGTATTTATAACTATTTGTAAATATTTGTAAATACAGTATTTGTAACTATTTGTAAATACAGAACTATGTAAATACAAATAACACCATTTACTCTGAGGAAGTTAAGTTTCAGAATGATTTAGTGACTTCCTTAGCTAAGTGTTCTGCAGTAGTAATTAACAGAACTTGAACCTTAAACCTTGCACCTAGATCTTTTGCCTCCAAAACCTATGGAGTGGGCCTCCCTGGGGGCCAAGAGGTTAAGCAGTGCACTATGAAGCAATCTGCAGTCTCTGCAGCATGAGTTCGATCCCCGGCCAGCAGGGAACAACCCAGATGGCAAAGCAGACCTCTCCTATCTCGCCTGCTGCTCCCCTCAGCAATGTGTTTCAGTCAGTCTACCTGTTCTGTTCCCCACTCTGTCTCCGGTGAGTCCTCTCACCACCACCACCCCACCACATCTCTGGCCTGTACCCCAGCTCTTGTATGCATAAATAAATAAATCTTAAAAAAAAAAAACACCTCTGGATTTAGGTTTGTGTTAGTTACTTGATTAGTTGGTTTTGACATTCAGAAGTCAAAAAGGATAGTTCTCAAATATAAAGTAGAATTTTGCTTTCTTATTTACACAAAGATACATTACAGTCAGTCTCACTGTCTGTAAATAGGAAGGTGCTTAGGGCAAGGGTTGCTTCCTGCAGGGAATGATAGTGCACAGGGAATTTCCATCTCCTGGTGGCAGCAGGGGATTCTGGGAACCAAGGCCCATGGACCACAAACAAACAGAAGGGTCTAGGAGTCAAAGCGAGTCAGTGGTTAGCAGCACTAAGCCAGAATAGGATGAAATAAGACTGTGAGGCAAAAGCTGTTGGAGAACAAGGAAGGTCTGTGAGCTGGGTTTGGGGCACTGTGTCTGTATGCTTTGGGTTATCTTGAAGGACTAACAAAGGCAACAATGGCTATTGTGTTTGCCTACCACACTGCTGCTCTTATTTTCTTTTAGAGCCAAGTAACTGAAACTAGCTTGAAAATAAAACATAATCACATGGGGCCATTTGCCTAACTGATAATTACTTGATATTTTATATTTTTCTTTTGTTATGCCTAAACAGATTTTCTTCTTTCATGCCTTTCTCTTTTTTTTTATATTACATTACAATATATAGAGAGAAAACCATACCAATCAGCTGTGCATGGTTTGGAGGTTTCAACAAATTGAACACATCCTTATAACTGTTTCAGAGAGGAATGTTAGAGTGTAATCTAACAATCTAACCATAAAAAGTTTCCATGTCCCTTGTCCCACCAAATGGCGGGTGTTGCTGAGAGGGGAGGAGAAGCTGAAGGAGACAAAGAGAAGACTTGAAGGAGGCAGGTAGAGCAGAAAGATGTAAAGAAAGGCACACTTTCTTCTCAGTTTGGGCATTGCACCAGGTACTTAGGAGACATGAAGGGAGACATATGGAATCAAGACACATAGAGACACTTGGAGGAGGCGTGGGGAGGCTGACAATGGCAACCTTGAGCTTGGTTTGTACTTTGATTTTGCTCCTTTTGTCCCAGAGTTGCTGGTCCCTCTGCCCCTTTCCTGTGGTCCCCCTCCACAAGGTGCCTTAGACTTGTGGCAAGCTATTGAGCCTCAATAGCCCACTTTCTGCCATCCTTGTTTGGGCATTTACCAAGGGGATGGGTGGCTTTGGGTGTTTTATTGGGAAATGGTTCTCCTTTCTTCTCTTCTCTCTCTGTGCACACTATTTTATTCAATTTCTTTCACACTGAGAAAAGCATACCTTGTCTTTATGTAGTAGATGGCAGAATACATTTAGAGTGTGCAGGCTTGTGGGGGAGCTCAGAGTACCCCTCTACTCTATACACTAATATAACCAGCCCTCAGATCAAAAAACATTACCAGGCCTGAGCCGACCCTCTCATACCTCTTCTAGTCTTCCCCCAGATTTCCAGGATAACTGACACAGATCTTTGACCATGTAAGAAAGAAGGAAGAATTTACCCCAGACCAAAGAGGGCAAAGGAACCGACACCCAAATTACCAGGAGTTTAGTCCATCCACATTGTAACCCAAAAACCAACTTTGATAAGTGAAGGAGGGAGATGAAAGGATTTTATTTAGTGGTCAAAACACAGCATTTGGTTTCAAGATTGACTGGATAACCTAGTCGTGGATTTACCTTTTCATTTAAAATTGAAGAGAGACTTTTTAGAGATTCAAACCTGTTTGACTGCATTTTCTTATCTAGCTTTCTCTGAAAAGTCTCTGATTGGGTTGCTCCAGAAATTAACCACAAGGCAGTGCTCCATTTCAGCTTCAATGAGGAATTAGGAGGGACAGTGAGCCCAGAGCTCTCTGCGAAATGACCCCAGACTCCCTGAGTACCAGACACCCTGGAGGCTTTTATTTAAAAAACAGATGTCAATGAGAGCCTCAAAATAAACCCGTACATACTTGGACAACTAATTTACAAACAAAGGGGCCAAGAGCACACAATGAGAAAGGATAGTCTCTTTAATAAATGGTGTTGGGAAGACTGAACAGCCACATGCAAAGAATGAAACTAGACCACTATCTTACACAAACACAAAAAACTTCAAAATTAATTAAGAATGAATGTAAGACATGAAACCATATATTATCAATACATAGGAGAAAACATAGACAGTGAGGTCCTTGGCATTTTTGTGGTGGTTCCCAGAGAGGGTGAAATCGGTTTTGGGAGAGGGTG